ACTACGAAGCAAACATTCAAGAGGTCTATCACGCACCAGTCATGCGTCTGCCTGGTGCCAGTGCAAGGTATAGTGTGTTTCAATGTCCTAAAGTCATAGTAATATGCCACCGGTCCGCCACATTTAAAAGTGCTGGGTATAAAAATATGCCACCGGTCCGCAAAGTGTTAAGGCGTCTCTGGATAAGATTTAATAACAATTATCACAATATTTATATTATTAATATTACATAAATTTTTTACATGATTTTAAATCATCTGTATCACACATTTTCAATTACAGGCAGTTGAACAAAACTATAAGAAGGAAGAATTGTACTGCAAATACGACAGTGAAACAAGCAGATAGATAAGCTACATTCAGAGAACTTCATTATTGTATCTGAACATTTCTACAAACAGGGTGGCAGCTTATGGTCTGGACAGTATACCTGTATGTAATATAACCAGTCTCACGGAAGTGGACATATTACCCTTGAAAACCGCATCTTGACGGTAAGAGTTTATTTATTATTTTCTTGCATTTTGGTAGTACTTCTAATGTTTCAGTTTCACATAATTAATGGACCATCGCACAATGACAAATCAACTGTGTAAGAGATACCGAATTTTTACCATAAAAACAAGGATGATGATTATTGCAATACCTGATTAACACCCATACATAACAAGATACAAAAATTAAATATGATTATGTTACATTCACTACTGTCCTTCTATATATAAAAAAGTTATGTACGCATAAGTGATTTATAGTTATCAATATATAAATTTATGGTTGCCACTGTCGAGCATTAAAACATTGCGTGAATATACAAAGCAGGTCACAAATAACTGAGCTATCTCTTTGTTTCATTGTAGTGTGTCTATTTTTGGAGTACTGATAATATTTTGATGTGGATATGTGGAGTGGTTTACAAATGACCATTCGCGCAAGTTTTATTTGTGGGAGATGGCAATAAATATTGACTACAATGTGTCATTTGGTAACATGTGGAGCTAGAGAAGAATAAAGGAGAAAGCAGAACTTCATTGTTTGAAAGCATATGACAAACGGTGAGACTTCCTGGGGAATTCTCAATATATGTTATACTACTTTATTTGAGACTTCCTAAACTAAATGAGCAATCCAGAGAGCTGTCAAGATTCAATTAGGGTGTCGTCACTCTAGTAATATTAAGAATATATTGGCAGGCCTGTGCACTTTTATGGTAATCATCATACAACTTATTATGATGAGGGCTGTACCACCTTAGAGACCATTTAAATCTCCAATCCAGTATAAACTGGTTATGAAATTAACTCTGAGATAATAAACACTGAACCTGCTATAATATTCTCTTCTGAAGCGGTTGGATTACAAATTATTTTCTACAATTAAAGATGCAAAATAAAATGGAACATGTATGACAAAGGCAGCAAATATCATCAGAAAATTTAATTAATATCTTCATCCAATTACAAAACATTTCTGAAGTAAATGCCAATGTCACCTTTCAGTCAGTTTAGTGTCAAGATATGAAGATCAAAACCCAATTTTCTACAGATGTTCTTACATAAGTATTTAGTTTTCAGCATGTAACATAATTTATAAACATTCAGTGATTGTACTGCACTTCTGAATATCATATATTCAACCACAATTAAAAAGTGAACGATCAGATGATAAAAATAAATTCCAATTTGAACCAAAGTGGACAAAACACTAGTTTCTAAACGTTAAGACAGGAATTAACAGAACTTACAATAAACTTCCAATTATCAACATAACTATTTCTTGTACTATAGCATTCAGTTTTGTGTGTCTATGAATATTGCATTTTATTACTGTCTACACAACTTGTAATATGCTCATGTATCACTGTCACAACAAGATATTTTGACTGAAGGTCTTTGGGTTGTTCTTATAATGAGAACATACACACCGACATGTGCCAGGAAATTAATCATTATTATAACCACACAAACATAAAACCATGCATCTTCCAAAAGGGCACAGAAGCCCCACAATAAGGAAATAAGTTTCAAAATTCAAAATACAAGTAGTAAGAAATTTAAATCAGTTTTACAGATTTTAATTAATGATGTAAAAAAAGGCACCTTCAACTTTCATTAATATTAAATTTTAGTAACTAATTGATTCCATTGGGCAAAGCCTTCCTTGAAAAGCTAACAACAGCTCAGACAGCGAGCATATTCTGAGTCTTCTTGGAACTTGAAAGTCCAGTACCATGTTCGCAAGAGTCCGCCACTGGATCCTATCCCAAAATAAATTCAGTTTACACATGACCACCCTGTCACTTTAAAATGTGTTAACATTATACTTCCATCTATGCCCACTTCTTCTAAGTGGTCTCTTTACATTTTTCAACCAAATCTGTGTGCACATTTCTCTTCTTTCCCATGCACATAACCCCCACCCCTGATGTGCTCATCCTATTATTATATGGTCAAGGGTACCAAGCTCACCCTTATGCAATTTTTTTTTATCCCCAGTCTGCTGTTCTTTCCTTCTTAGTTCTAATAACAGAAATGCACACAGCACAGTTTGAAATCTACATGTAACTTGTAACAGAAGAAATTAAAATAACATTTGAACAACTGCTACAACGGCTACATTGGAGAAGTTAACCAATTATACTGCACAGTAATTTAGTGGCCACAGGTATGTAAAACAATTTATTCACACCTGAACATGACCTGTGGTCTAAACAAGTTGGCATGACTGTAATACATGAGAAGATGGTAACAAAGGACAGCACTATATGTACGTAAAAGCTGCAAGATGAAAGGCATTACTCTGCACTGTCACAATGCCCATCTCACTAAGCACAATATGTGTGGAAAGGCTACAACACAAAATAACTTTCAAAATCACCAATTTTATACAAGCTGAGTGTCACATACAATGTGATGTTTCAGTTTCTAAAATTAATGCTGGGTTAACTGGCTGTTATCCATCCACTGCTCACCAGATAGTTGAGGACGTAGGTCTCTGGCCCAGAAGATGTTGTTGGCAGTAAGTCCTCTTTCTTTGGGCCTTTCTGAATGTAATCCTAAGAAAAGAAAATACCTTTTATTTCACTGCAGATGTATTTGAATTTAAAATAAACATATAATGTTAATTACAGTTTCAATATACAAACACAAATAAATAACTACCATTACAATGATGCTTAAAAATTGCTATCGCAGTTTTGTCAGATTGTACTGATAATGCACATAATCACGAAGTCATACTAATTACACATTTATCAGTTCATTCTAATGGGTGTCAAGAGAAAGTAACTGAAAAATTATAGAGAAACAATATATTTAATAAGCACTTCTTACAAAGTTTCTTGAACAATTATTATCAAACGTTATCAACTCCGTCCAACGTGATTGATGTTTTTCTCTCTCCTTTTATAGTATTGCTAGTGTGATGGACCAGGATTCAGTCTAGAAAACCGAGATCAATGGCTGTGTGGATCCGTTATGCTGACCACACGACACCCTCTATCTGCTAAAGTTGGCACTAACTTCGCCGACAAACGGCAGTCGCTCGGTCGGTATAGTTCACGTGCGGATTAGAGGCCATGGAGTTTTTTTTTTTTTATTGTGACGGACCAGGATGAACCAAATCAAATTTCTTGAACAAGATTCACGGCCTTCATTTAAAGACAAGGTAATTATTAAAAGAAATTATGGGGAATAGAAAAATGCTCTTAAGGACCACAAAAAGGGAAGAGGCATGCTGCAAGGAGAAGGGCCTTGTTATTATTAGTATGAATATTATACACATTAAAAAAAAAGTGTTTCAGACATGATTAGGTATACAGATGCTTTCCACAAATGCTGCTTCTAAGGGGGCCTAAAGCAGTATAGTTTTAGTTACTCTGAGAACTTCTTATTTATTCTAGCAGATGGCTGAAACACTGGATGATACAGCTGAACTGCAATAATATGGAACACTAACTCACCCGTAGTAGAATCATCTTCAGGGTCATATACTGAGAAGGTTTCAAATTCAAAGAAGAACACAACTAGAACAAAGAGAAAGAAGATGCACAATGTGTTATTCCTTGGAATTATTTGGTTACACAGCAGTGAATGTATTCATGCACAAACAAAATTAGGATTCGAAACTAAACACCATCTCTCCTTGAAGTACGTAATTGTTCCTGTGTGCAGACGGGAATGGTGGTAGTTTTGTACTGCCCCTGTAGATCTTTACACAATGGATGTCCAGTGTGAGTCTGAGTTGGAGTTTGTCTTCACATGTGTGTGTGGATGTGGAGAAACAAGAGCATTGTTACATGAATGAACAAAAATGAAAGACAACAGTGATGATAAAAGGGCTAAATAAACAGTTGGGATGAAGCATCTGAGTGTTGGCTGCATATTAACAACATTTTTTGATATTTTTGACAATTCTGTCACTTTTTTTAAAATAAGACTTCTAACAAAAATACAGAAGGCTTTAGGAATTAACAAGGTATATACACTTGTACAACATCAGGCAACGCAGTTTTTCTACATGACTAAATATTTCTATGTACACTGTAACAACTTATATGACAGGTAGGTGCCTGAAGACGAACCATAACTGGTCCAAAATATGCCAGAAGAATGTGACTAAGGCGAATATTTACATTATTTTAAAGCTGTATTCAATGGTACAGGATACATACGTTAATAAAACAGAATGGCTCGAAATGTGAAATAAAAATATAGTGAAATCCCTACTTAATGAATCTCTGGGGAAGTGGCTTTCCTTACATTAAATCGAGGTTTACTCTGAATGGGGGTTATGAAAAATTATATAAAGGAACTGTTTATACACAAATAAATACAATGTCTTAACTAATAATATCAAATTAATTTCTAGTATAGTCATGAGATAAGAAATAAGCACTGAAACAACCCCTCAAAACAAATATGATGCCACAATTGGCATGGACTTTTAATGTCACTCACCAAAAGTTATGGTTTCTGGCAAAAAGAAAACATGAATATCAATTGTTGTTTTGGCCACAAGCTCGTTAAATTGAGGTGCAAGTTCTGGAAGGTAAGAAATTTCTTACAAAAAATGTGGTTTATTTAGTAAATCAAAATTCATTATAAACAGGAAAATAATACATAGTTTTTTACTGGGCTTCAGTTGGGACTAGGAACAATATTCACTAAAAACAAGGTTTTAATAAGCATGGGAACATTAAATTGGAATTTCATCGTAAATAGATTTGTGGAAATTTAATAACCAAATAGAGAATTATTCTATAAAATTCTATATAATATATATATAAATTCTATATATTATGTGTCAGTCTCTCCTTCATTAAGGCCCATCTGTACCAGACACAAAAAGAAGCTCTTACAACAAAGATCAAGCACATGTTTCTCTTCATTACAGAAGATGCATAATTTTTACAATCTCTCAGTTCTGAAATAAACTGATATTAACAAGACATCTAGAGTATGTACAATATTAAGTTCTTTAACTGGACTCTACTCGTAAATCTAATTAAATCAAGAAATAAACAAGAATTGCTCCAGCCACTCCAAAATATGGGGACAAGATAACTCACTGGAGACAATCCTTTCCTTTACAACAATATACAAGTATGACAATCATAGGCCTATTTCTGACCTTAAACAGTGTCAGAGCTGAGCATTCATCTACTAGAGCAGGATGGTCACAAGTGTGAAGGCTCACCTTAATCTCACATGGTGAAAGAAGGTGGTATCCCGGGAGGGTGGAGATATCTGGATGGCTCGCCTCACCACCAGACTCTGCCCCCTCCCTACTGTTATCGAGGCTGGGATGCTTGCCGCTTCTGTATACTGATTTTCCGTCGCTGGAGGATAAGGCGGGATCGCTTCTTTCTCTAAAAAAGAAACACCAATAAGATTTTGTTAATAATATAATGAAGACTGTCAACATATCACTAAAATGTGTTCATAATCATTAACACAGAAATAGGAAATATCAATATGTTACAGAAACAAGTGTTACTGCAAAAAGAAAAAAAAACATAAGCCTATCCCTGTAACAAGCCATGGAGGCTGATAGGGTTGTGAGACGTCGAGGCTCACACATTTTCTAGACAATCAGCTCACAGATGGCGGTAAGGCTGTCAACCTTATGCGCCGGATGCCCTTTATCCCCCTGGAAGATTCCTGGTACTCATTTCTGTTAGAGGCTGATTCGACCGCAGGAATATAGTGCGGCTGGAAAGATTGGCTCAATTTAAAAAAATGCATTTCATTGGGACTTGAATCCGCGACCTTCTGGCTTGTAGCATAGTGCTTCAACCAACTATGCTACCACATGCTCCAGAGTGTTACTGTGATTCTGCAAACGTAACTACAACTATAATCTGTTATCACAATGAATGTTATAACTCATATAGCTACATATAAACATGAGCCATCAGCTGAACACAATGTATGCTCCTTCATAATTTCATGAGAAGAAAATAGTACTTTTTCCAGAGTCTCCCATTATTATATGTTTTCTGTTAGTTCAACAACAAGATGAGAGAGAAAGGTGGATGGAAGGAAACAGACAAATAAAAAAAAATAAAATTACAACATAAAATGATAAGGGAGCAATATCAGCTATGAATTTATACAAAAATACGACTAAAAATTAAGAACTGAAACTCTGAATTAGTGAAACTGACTCACCTTCTTCTTGGGACCATTGATGGAGGTGAGGGGATGGACCCACTGCTGCCCTAAGTGAAAGGCAAACTGATACAATCTGATTACTTTGTTCTAATAAATTAATCAATAACACAGAATCAACTGACAAAATTAATATAATAAACCATGTTAATCCAGGAACAGAAGAAATATGGCTATAGATTAGAGAAAGGTTTGATCTCGTTTAAGGTACAAGAGGCACACCAATGTTACTGTACCAGCATTCATTATTTTCATTACTTGCTAGGATCTGTCACACATATATTTCAGGCAAGGACTCAAAGAAGATAGCACACATTCAGACACATAATGAAAGAATGGGATATTATGAAATATTTAATTTACACTTCTTTATTTATAGACAACTGCCCGTCGTCTGGTATCCAACTATCTCATACAATTGGCAAAAATTTCATAGAAATTTTACCATTGTTATAAAGTTACTCCAAGAACAAAGTTGCAATGTACACCTGCCAGGTGGTAGTTCTCCCAACTGCCACTAGCAGCATTGACCACTGACCTCCCTTATGTATGTGTCATTGTAGGTGTGGCCATGTTACAACACAGCCAAAGTCTTTCATCCATTAGCCTGCTGTCATCTAAAAAGACTCCCATGCAAGAACTAAAGCAAAAACATACTGTTTCAACTTAGAAACAGAAAATGGAAATAAGTAAAGGTGGAAAAAGCATGAAAAATGAGTTTCTATTAAGTTTTTCCCATACAACTAGCAGATTCATGAAACTGGAACATCCCACTTCATATATATGCCAGATAACAGGCAGTTTACTGCATTTAACAATTAAGTCGATATCACAAACTATACAGCACAACTATATGGCAGGAGGGCAACTGAATAATGAAGTGGAAAGGACATGGTGATGACCTAATTATAGGTACTACCACAGAATTTGCCTTCAGAGACTGAGAAAAATCATGGAAAACCTAAGCCAGGATCCTTACTGCCCTCAAGACACAAATCAGGATATTATTCAACTCCATGAGGTGATAGCAGACTGATCTGAGGTTATATATATGGAACAAATAGCTGATGAATACGCTCTTTAGACACTAATATAAACTTAAACAATACTGTATACATAAATAATTCCTTTTTAAAAAAACTGTAGTCACGACATTACAAATAAACTGGAACTTTCAGATGAAAAATAAAATAACTAAAAATCTCCGTGGCATGTAGTCCACAAGTGAACTATACTGACTGAGCAACCGCCACTTGTTGGCAAGGTTAGTGCCAACTTTAGCGGACAGAGGGTGCTGCGTGGTCAGCACAACTAATCCCCACGACCATTAATTTCGGTCTTCTAGACTGGAGCCACTACTTTTCCATTTAAGTGGCTCCTCAATTATCCTCACAAGGGTAAGTTTAACCCATCCCATACCCACTACTTCTCAGAAAATCTGGTAGCGCCGGGAATCGAACCTAGGGCCTCTGGATCTGTAGCCAGGAACTCCGACCACTAGACCAAAGAAGTGGTGGAAAAATTAAAGAAGGGATAAGAAATTCTGTAGGTGGGAATCCATTGTAAGGAAGGCACCTTATATGAGGGCCATAATTACAATCTTTACATGAGACTATCTTAAGTGGGGACACAATGGGACTTCTCTGTATTATGGAGGGAAGTATCAAGAAAGTGCTCTGGAGTTATTAATACCAGACTAATAAGGTTCTTAGGGTGCAAACAATGCTGAAAAAAAGAGAAAATTAGAAACTCAAACTTCCATGCATGTGCAAGCACAGATGAATACTTATATACTGTGGTAGAAGTTAAAATTACTATCAAAACAGAACTTATGTTTTACAGTTGACAGTATACGACACAGAATAGGGCAGATTATTTATTTCTAAACAGAAGTAAACATATAATCAAGTATTATGAATGAAATAAAATGAACATCTTTTCTTTTCAGCGTGAAATTATATTGACAATATCGTCTGTCTGTAACATGTACTGGTATCACATCAAAGCAAAAGAACGACATTTACTGATGATTAATGTTACTGCCACATTTTGCATCTGCATTTTTAGTCAAGGGTTAGCTTAAAGGTGCTGAATCATTAATAAAAACAGTTTATATGAGCATACGTCTTCAAATGGCTCCTTTCTGAGTTAGAGAACTATTTCATTTCCGAAATATATAACACAGAATCACACTTTTGTTGCATCCTCTGTGCACCTGGGAGTGAAACCTTCATAGCACAAGCTCAAAATATCCCACATAAACTTTGACACAACCCTGAAAATGTTTCATCTTTTACGGTCATTTCTTGGAGTGACTGAACATTCACTTACATGATACACTTGACACAAACTGATTTGAATTCAAGACCGATACATCCACACTGTGTAAACAGCAGTTATTACAAGACTTTTAATAATGTCACTGTATAATATTACCCTTTATCATTTGGGTACAACTGAGTTTATAACCCCCCCTCCCAGTATTGCAGGGCTAGGGCCATAATGTAACAGAAATAATAGTACTGGCACTGAGGAGGGGGAATGGTTGCTAGAGCATGCATTATAGCACAGCAATGCAGTCAACAAAAGTTACTTAAAAAAAAAAA